AAATAGATATAAGGAATGTTAAACTATACAAAAAATAAACTATTCTTCAAAACTGGATACAGTTTATCCTTCCTGTCCTTTGAATATTCTAGGACAGGATCTAGATTAGTTTTCAAAAGTTACGCAGCATCTTCCTGAAGTACACCATATTTCTTTTTTTTTTATAAAAAACTCCAAACTTCAAAAGCTGCACAAAACCACTATTCCTTGTTTTACAGGCAGCACATGCCTGCATCCTGGCACACCTATAATACTGCAGGTGGAGTCCCAACTTGTCATAGTAAAACACACCCAACTGTAACTGAAATTGCATTTTATGGTTATCAAGTGAGACTATACTGTGATCTCAGCAACAACAATGGCTTCACAGTCTCTGCTAGACTGCTATCACATCACATCACATAGCTTTCCTGAGGACAAGGGCATAGTTTGAACCACAAACGTACATGTCTATATTATCAGAATTGTGCAGCTCAAATACAAAGACTTTCCAGAAATATAACAATAATACTTCAAAAAAGATTGTATATTCTGCTTTCCAACTTGTTTAAAAGACACGTATATAATGCACTACATGTGTAGTTTGGAAACTAACAATTACTACTGCTTCTTTGACCAAAAATCAGAGGCATGCTTACATTACTTTCTAAAAAAGTGTTTAACTGTAAACTACCATATTGAATTTGTGTTAAAAATTTAGAAAAGTTAAAATGTTATCATTAATATTGATGATGACTTGTGTCTTAAAATGAAAGTTTAAACTACACGTACCTATATATAGAAAACACTAGAAAATATCACTGCTTTTCTACTACAAACCTGTTCAAATATGGAGCAAATTTAACTTTACAAGCTACAATCTATCCCTGCCTTTACAATAAGAGTAATAATCTCCAAATAACAGGTAGCTTGCAGTTTAAGGGAATGCAACCGTTTGAAAAATGTTATTGACATTTTCTATCGTTAAAGGCTAATTGGTGACTAAGTTGTGTTGCCTAAGCCGGTAAATTTCAGTTCCATTTTAGTTTCTTCAAAGCCAAACTTTCAAGCAAACACTGATAAAGTCTTTTGCTTTCCTCAGACAATGTGCTGTAGTGTTACATATTTCTAAATGTTCACTATGATTTCATGTCATCTTGTCCTATGCAAATATATTTTAATACAGTATGTTATCTGCTTAAAAAAAAAATTGTATTTTGAGATCTTTGCCACCAATTTAAATGCTTTTTTAATAAATTGAGTATTTCTGAAAACTGGAAGATATCTTTGACCTACAGAGGGTGCAAGACTGAAAAACTGTTAATGCAAATAAATTAAATTAATAAGTTCTCTAACAGTAAAGCCTAAATGTCTGATATAAAAAGCTTTTTGTTAGGAGTTAGTTTCAGTAGCCGAAATGACCTCAATCTATAAAACACAATTTAGAGCACCACACTTTGAGCAGAGTATCTGCCTCTTGTTAGCTGTATCACTAAGAAGAAATAGAAAATGAAGCCTCAAAAGTGGGCTTTAAATATTTGCATTGCAATAGTATACTGGACAAAATCTAGAACTACTAAAATAACTGAGGGTTATCCTCTCTAACTAAATTTTTACCATTTGTATTTCAATCAAAACCAATATTTTAAAGATGGTATATATAAGCCTAATAAACTGAAATTACTGAAAGACTGATGCTAGAAGATAAGTAAATCACAATTTGATACTAAGACTTGAAGGATTTCTGCATGGTAACAATGGATGCAGTTTTTCTTGAATTTTTTTTTAATGTATTTCTCATACAAGTATTTCTAAACTTGGATTATTCTTTTAGTTATAAGTCAGTATTTTCTTTCTACTAAGCTTAACTTACATCTCCACGCAACTTCGACTTTCATTTTTTGACTGATATTTTCTGCTCTGACTACTTTTAAAAAGTTCATCATGAGAAATGTGTGGTGCTAGTGAATTCTCTCTTAGGTAGTATGCACTTAACTATCAGACACTTCAGTTACAAAGAAAAACATTTAAATCTTAATTACCGTTCTTTGATCACGTATCATCTCTTAATACAGTCTTTTATGTCTGCACACGTAGGAAAAGCAGGAGTCAAGACAGAAATGACTGCTTCGGTTCAGTAAACATTTAAATATTTACTATTCACATGGGTAATAGTTACGGTATACTAACTGTATGACTAAAAGTACGGTATATACATCAGAGCTGAAAATGAACACCAATAATGAAACAGAACCAAAACAACAATTACTTGAAATAAAATTAATCAGACCCTGCAGGCTTATGTTTTGAGAATTTTTTAAAAAGTTTTGGTTCAGTTCTTTTTTACTGTGAAACACAGATCTAACTAAAAAGACTTTTGAATTCAAAGAATCCTAAACAATTTGATCAGAGGAAAGGTATGTGAGAGTTGCTGAATGCACACATACTGAGATCTAAATAGAAATTTACTGTAAAGCAAATTCAAATTCTTCATCACACACATTACTAGAACAGTCAAAAGAAAATGAGCCAAAAGTTTGCCCTCACCAACACAAGTACTGCACTGACTAAGCAACATTTTAAAAGGCATATTTTACCCTTAAGTAAAGAAAACTGAGATATTCTTGATAGTAAAACCAATAAAATAACACATTTTTGCATCACTACACTGTAACTTCAACAGCAAGGAAAGTTCAAATCCAGGAAGAAGTACGTGCTAACATATGCAACACTGATGTATAATCTTCTTGCCTAGTGAAAGTCTAAAGAAGATATATTAGCGCTGTTGACAGACTGGTAGCATGTCCCACAGAATGAACTTCCAGCAAGGCACAAATCCAAACATACTCAAGAAATCAGTACTTTACAGCAGAAATATAGTTGTCATTTAAACCAAGTTCTTTCTTTAGGAAAGATTGTTTTAAAAAAGAGGTAACAGAATGCCTATGTTGCTTTGGTGTCCTGTTAATCAAGCCTGTAACTCCAGATCCATCCTTTTCTTCAGATGTTAGAATCAAGGGACAGCAGAATGAGTTAGGAAGTTTCTTAACTGTGTTTAACTTTAGAACTTCACAAACAACCAGGATCCTGGCTATCTAACAGGTTACAGAAGTAATGACAGGTAACCACTCTTCTAAACCTTCCACTGTGTAACCACAAAATAATCATTATTCTTCTAACTATTTATGTAAGACAGTAAAGTTAGCAATGAGAAATTTAGCTGTCATTGAGATGTAGCCAACAATGAGCATTACGACACATTCCCAAAAGGCCTACTCTGATCTTTCAACCAGAGCAAGACTTGTATGTCAACAGAATTTGCAATATTTGCTATAACACAATGGAAGAATGTTAGTCAGTTTAAATATTAAGCATCTTAAGGACATAAGCACATACTACTTAACATCTCAGTTCTACAAACCTAGCAACTGTGGATGCTACTTACAAACATTTCCTTCCCTATGAACTGCTTCAGTAACACTAATCATTTGCTCATCACAGTATGGTTTAAAATTAATTTACTGAAAAATGAAGGTTCATACACTGCATTTAGCTTCCTGTATTACACTCATTATCATACCTTCATGTCTGCTTTTGCTTCCTATCATATCCTCTGCAGTAGCACCAGTAAATGTCTGACTGAGCTCATGACAGATCACGTAAATGTTTAACTGATATATTACTGCAGAAGGTCAGACTGAATTTACATTCACTAAGAAAACAGAAATTTCTCTGAATAATCATGAAAGTAAACTCCTTCAAATACACTGGGAACAGAGAGAGTGCCAGGGGGTATAAAAGGCTGAGACAGGATCAAAATGGAAACATAGCAGAAAGCCAACAGCAGGACATAGGAAAATAACTATTTGTACCCATGTTCACCATTAAGAAATGTAGGACCACTTCACATTTTAATCCTAATTTACATGGGCCATACTGGTTAATGTACTTCATGTTCAGATGCCACTAGAAGAAGACAGAATTAATCAACAAAAGAATTAGTAACAATTCACACACACTGCAATTCATTTTAAATGTCCAAAAGAAATAAGTATAAAGTTGAATCACCAACTTCAGAGAGTCACTAGCTTCTAAAATAGTCTTACATTTAACCTCAGAAATTTAAGGAAGATACTTTAAGAAATAAACAAAAGTGATCTAAGTGAAATTGTTGACTTGGATTTGAAATGGATTTCAGCAAAGCTCCACACTAGCAGCTCTTAAGAAAACCTAGCTGTTGTATTTTAAGTGGAGGAAAAAGATCTTACAGTTAAAGAATTGCTTTAATTATGAAAAAATAAGTAATAGCAATAAAAGCTTAGTTTACTCAGTGGGAACGAGTCACCTGTGGTGTCCCACATGTTCAAAAAATATAGAAAAGTAGGAGGTTAGTGTAACAGAATTTTCTCACACTACTAAGCTATTCAGGATAATAAAGACAAAAGCTAATGCCAAATATTTACACTAGGTCCACATGGGACACAGAGTGATTGTATAATAAACTGTCACACAATATCCAGGTTAGACAATATAGGTGTTGTACATTGAGGAAAGCAGTCTAACACCACTTCACAGAGACAACGAAGACGTCCTCAACGTCAGGAAATATAATCCAGAGATAGAATACAAGATTTTATGATAAAAAAATAAATTGTGTGCAAAAAACTCTTCAGAGCAATAGAAGACGATGAAAGCAGAATGATATATGCAGAAATCCAGTCCAAGTATTCAAAAAACCATGATCCAAAGCCATGTTTAGAGAAGAAACAGCTTGAGACTAATTAGCATATAAATACATAAATATATAAAGATACAAATATATAAATACATAAATAAATTTATAAATAACAGTCTTGTTGAATAATGATACCATCACTCGGGTTTTTTTCTCAGAACAGACTTCATTGTGAAGTACCTTCTATTAGCAACATGCAGCAGCAATTTCCTTTAAGACCATCTCGTACAGAAGCATAATTTAAAACAAGAAGAAACAATTTTTTTTAATCTAGAAGTGGACTCACCTGTACTTCACATTTTGGAGAAGAATTCTGACGCACTGCATCTAAGGCATCATGAGCCTGCTGAAGTTGCTCTTGTAACTGACAAATCTTTTGATCTTTTCCGAGTAACTGATCCTGAAGAGAGGCACAGCTTCGCTGCAGTTGAATTTCATTTGTTTTAACAGTTTCAAAACACGAAGTCAACTCATTATAAAGCTGCAAGTGTGAAGAACAGAAATAACAGGATTAAAAATAACTTCAGTACAGACAGCTATATAAATAAGGGAGGAAAGTGTAATTTAAGTAACTTGTCCAGAAAGATGACACTCTTTTTTACGTTTTGACAATTTCTTCACACTTCTCCTCCTCCTCCTGCCTCCTGTCACTCTCTCTGTATTTGAAAATAGTGCTTGTTAAAATCACCAAAACTTTAAGTTTGAAAGAATTTTTAACAGAAAAACACAACTTACATTAGAATACTATCATTTCCAATTGCATCTTTAGGGGATTTACAAACAGAAACGGACACATAAAAATCAAGATTTATTTTACTTCCTTTGCAGTTATAAAAAATACTGAAAATACAAAAGAAAAAAAAATCTCTGCTAGAGAATAAGAAAAAAATGAAATATCTGTCCTAGGAATGAAATTCAAGGAGTAATGATAACAAACACCATCCTTGCCTTTTACAGTAGTAGTTTAATCTTTTAAACCTAACATTTTTAATATAGCTTGGATGGTAATACAGTGGATCCACTAATGCCTACTGCATTTTGTAGGAAGTAATTTTTTTTTAATATAATTACTCTATGTGAATTTTTTTTACATTAACTTCAAAACTCAGAGATTATATTAGATGGTCTTGTCCCTGGTTGTTGCTCAGCTGCTCTTGCTGAAGTCACAACACTGTATCAAGAGATTCCATGCAAACAAAGTAAGTCTAGAATTACACCTAAGTAATAACTAGGAGTACATGCCATCTAACTGTAAAAAAGAACTTATTCTGCAAGAATAAAAGAACTTAACAACAATCTCATCCCACTATTTTTATCCTTCTTTTTCAATATAAACATCTGAAAACTGTTTAAAATAAAATTGTTTTATTAAAAATGTAAAACCCAGTTTAACAAATAAACCTGCAGTTGAATAAGTAACAGTACAGTTTCTGAAGTAAATACATGACTCTACAGATTTATTATTTAAGCAAATATTCCGCTCTTCATTTCAGTCGTTTATTCCTTTGATTGTCCTTTCTCAAAATAAATAATATTCCCTTCGGCTATTTATTTCAAAATAAAATAATCCGTGGAAGGCATGCATGTACTTCCCCAGCTGACAGTTTTCTTCAGAAAAATCAATTTCTGCCATTCCATCCAAAATAAACTAATTAAACATGAAAATTAGAATTGCCAAATCTATCAATAATGCTTATAAGTACAAGAAATTGACACAAGTCATTTTACTTGTACAAACATCATTTTACTCTTCATTTTATCCTTTGTCTTGTTAGCTTTACTTAAACACCACACTTCTTTCTCCCTTTAGTCTGCTTACATCACTTAGAAGTTAAACCTTTTGAATAGCAATCCCAACTTTTAGATTTGGAAACTGTCTACCTAATGCTCTGTGAGAAATTTCGAAAAAATAATCTCCCTTTCCTTCTTCCTATCATTTTCTGCTCCCATGGGCTCAACAGATCCATTTAGGACAAGGACAATTACCTTTTTTCTGTTTCCAAACCAGATTAGTGATCACGTCTGTCAGGTAAAAATAACTCAAAGTCTAGATAGATATTTCAGATTACTCTGAGTCTTAAAAATTAAGCTTTTGCATAGAAATTTCTATGCCTACTGAATCTTTTTTATATATTCAAGAAAGCTTACATGATCTTTAGGATTACAAGTTCAAGATTTGCCAACTTCTTAGGGAAATCAGTAAGTATCTCACAGGAGAATAAACAGTCCATTTATCAAAACCATGCATTTTTTGATAATGTCCTTCCAAATGAATGGAACATCAAGACACAGTTACTTCCAGATATAACTATATAAGCACATTAGCTAGATCATACCGGTATGACAATTTGCTGGTTTTATGACTAGAAGCACTTAAGTGGTTGTAATTATAGTATCTGAAAGGTAACATCCTAGTAAGATGAATGGAGAACATCAAAAATATGATGCTTTTTTCTATCTGGCAGCCACATCCCCTAACGTAGCTAATGGGTATTTTTGGTAGTCAACATTTGTCAGGACAAGACAAATAGCATGTCTTTTTACCTCTATAAACTTTTCCAGCCCGTCCAGCTTTGAAAACGGCAGTAACAAACCACGTGTATTTAAAGTATAAAGCTAGCTGAAAGCTATGTGCAAATAAACCACATTCACAGTATTCGTTGTTTTACTGAGGTTTAGAGGATTTTTTAAACAACACCAATGTACTAGTTTATAAGACTCATCCTTTCTTCTGTTTTGTTGGTTGTTTTTTTTTAATTTAACATCAGGAAATTTCAAAATGAAAACTATCTTTATGGAAAGAAATAGTTTCACCTACTGTCCACAGATAATTAGAACAGTTTCCAAATTTCCATTTGGCTCTCATTCTTTTATGGCCATGTACTGTTTTATGGATTAAATATATGCTTAAAGTTTATATTGTATTACTGCAGGGTTCTCTGCTCATTTCTTATCTGTTTTAGAAGAGGTACCACACTTAATCATATCACAGTAAGCACCAGAACACAGAGAATTGCACAAAACACTGAAACAGGTCTACTATTAATAAAGATACAGAAAGTCAGGTGCGGGGAGAAACAAGACATAAAATGGAGATCAGAGGGCTGGAGACGGTATAATGAGAAAGAAAGACAAAGATATTGTAAATTATTTATTTCAGAACTAGCAACTTTCACAGAAAAGAGGAGTGAAATTTTGACTACACATAAATGTTTATATCTCATATGAATGTCAGTAAGACATAAGATACACTCAAGAAATTGTTTAACCCCCAAGAACAGATATAAAACAATATTTATGTTTACAAGATAAGAAGAAAAAGGAAAATAATTAATACTATTTTATGCAATTTGGTATTTGAAAAAAAAAAGGCAACAGCCAGTGACAGAAGACTGTGCTCTGCAAGAGCTCTACAACACCGTATTTTGAGAATCTCTAATGTCTTTGAGCTGTTCTTTGTCTGATAGTCAAGACAGACTGTTACAGGTGAAGGCACTTAAAAACAAATAAAAAATATTAAAAGGATCTAAAATTAGCACATGGTAATAAATTTAGTCTATACAACACAAGAACATTATTTATTAGTTAGGAAGAATAAGTTAGCTGAATAACAAAAATAAAGTATCCCATATTTCTCAGTTACCCTAACAATTTCCTATATTGATTTAACTGATTTTACGAGAAAACATCTTTTGCTCTATCTTTAAAGAGTTGCTTAAAACAGAAGAGTTCATTAGAATAATAGGCGTGCTTAATGCCAGCAAGTAAAAGTGCCAGATTAAAGCAAGGGCTTCCAGGAGAACCTAAAGGTGTAACTCCAATATCTGCTCATCACATTCGATACAAAATATTTAGCAGCCTGAAAATGCTCGGGTGAGGTAAAGTATCGATATATATTAAATATATGTGACAGGAAAATTAAGGAAAGTTGAGGAATTCCAGTAATATCTTATAAAACTAAAGAATAAACCAACACTACCTACTGTACTCTAAGTTAGCCAGAATCATAGTGCAACTGGAAAAAAAAAATGCAGTGAAACAGTTGATACAAGTGACCAACACTAACACTATAAAATCGTGCAGGATTTATTTTAGACTAGGTTTAGACTGCTCCTGTGTAGTGAATGTCAATTAACTGTTGGGATACATTTTCCAATTCTAAATTAATCATCAGTTCCATAATGGTAAATGCATTTAGCTAATGTTCTAATAGATTTTTCTATGATACCAACTAAAGCACAGAAAATGGGGAGATCCAGGAGATTTCCTACAAAAGTATGCTCCTGTGAGGAACTAAAACTACAGTGGATACATTCATTAAAACAGCAAGACAGCCAATTACATACACTGGGTGTAAAAGAAAAATTCTCCTACATTAAATGTTTTATATAAATGGTCACACCCTAAAACCCAGTGTTTTAGAGAGACCTGAGTAAATGAACCCAAACATACAGTAATATTGAACATACAGTAATGACACAAATGAAAATTTTAGTCTCAATTAAGACATAGTAAAATTGTAACAGAAACTATTAAAGCACCATGGCATAAATCCATGTTACAAGATCATGCTGTTAATGTGAACCTGAAAAGAACAAGGGCAGAAATCAGCCAGAGGAAGTCTAGGGTAAAACCAAAGAGGCATTCTAGACAGACTATATTCAACACAGTCATAGTGTTTACTTTTAAAATGGAAACGAAAAAGCAGAGCAATTTTTTTAAGATGAGAGACCATGAAGCTTAGACACAAGTGAGAATTTGAGAAGAAAAAAAAAAAGAAAGTATAGAATTGATGTAGGTAATATCAGATAAGAGGCAAGCAAGAGTCACTAATGTAAGCTAAAAGAGAAGATGTGCTCTCCTCAACTTTATGGTACTATATAATTTGCAAATACCATAGTTGCTTTGGAAACTATGTAAAATTGATAACTTTCGCAATACACCTCAAAAATAACAAAAGATAATGTAAAAGAAAGGGCATTACAGTCCTTTTGATTAGGGGCCGGTTAGCTCAGTCAGTTGAGCGTAGTGCTAACAGCGCTAAGGTCGTGGGTTCGATTCCCAGTCGGTCCCCATGTGTTGCCTGATCTAGTCGAGAGCTGGCATCCCTGGCGACAGGGAGGCTGGATTAAAATGATCTCTAAGGTCCCTTCCAGCTTAGGCCATTCTATGATTCTATGATTAGTGTTGCTACTGCAAAACTCAAACTGATGAGTGCACGTATCTCAATGAATTCGGTATTTCCCGTTTCCTCATTGATGCCACCCCCTCCACCCCTGCCAGTGTAGCCTTCCAGCATTCAGCCAGCCAGCCAGTTTTGTGCAATTCCCTGCGTTGATATGGCTATCTCATAGTGAGGTTTGTGGACTGCTTTTTTAAATATATAAAAATTCTGACATGTTTCTCACAGAAAGACTATGTTTTATCAGCAACAACTTCTCTGTGAAATTCTATCAAACTCGATTTAGATTTCTTCTCCCTATGTAGTGTACTGTCACCAGTCCTAGCTAATGCAGAAAAATTTTAGTAATTCATACAGCAAACAGTATCATTTGAAATCCTCCATTGTGGGACCAATCTGATTATACGCTAATTTCATACATATTCAAAGCTTATAATTCCAACTCAGACAAAAATTGTCATTATTCATAAACATATTGAAATAAGCTTTATCTGAAGATTTTTCCTCTTTTCTTGAGGTACAACTCGTCTTGCACTGTCTCACCAGTTTACACACCTTCTTTCATCTACAGCTGTCATATTGTAAAAAAATACGCTGTCATTGCCAGAAACACTAAGATAACGGTTAGCAAACATTGGTGACAGGTTTAGAATTTTTTTTTTTTTTTTTTTCCCCAAAACACTTAAGCATTCTGTAGTCTACACCACTACAGACAGGAACTACAGCATACTAAGAATACCAGTACGGGGTTTTTCAAGCATGAAATCATTGTGTCTGACTTCAGAGTTTAATATCACCCTGAGAGAATCTGAGTCTAACTCAGGATTTCTTCAGCTTTAGCCTATCGGCATGTCTGATGCCAAAATCTACTTGGCTAGCATGTAACAATACTGGTGTTTGGTAGACAATAAATAAATAAACTAACCTAACTGACACACTTCCTAACAACAGAAAACAGTATCAGATCTTGAACTAAAGTGTGAGATCACCTTTGCTGTAGATCTGAGTTTCTCACAGTTTTCACAAATAAAGCATCTGGCCTACAAAAATGATGATTCACTTATTACTGATGCAGGCTTCAGCATATTTGACCAGACAGTTTGTTTTTCTCAGCTCTTATTAAGTGTGAAAGAACTGGTTTTTCATTCCAGTTTGAGGGAGAACCTGCATTGTTACTACCATTTACATATCTATATGGGGTTTGTAATTATTTTATGAATTTGTGAACTTAATGCTGCTTGCATAAAAGTAAATACATTTGTATGACTTTTAACTACAGTTAAGGTTGTTGTTGACACAAAAAAGATTAAGTGGTAAAATTTAAGCTTAGGAAGGCAAAGCCAGTAACATGACATTCTGATTATAATTTCCTAGGCTTGAAGGAAAGCAAACTAGCTCCACGCACTGACACCATGAGAAGGACTACCAAAGGCAACTGCAGGCAGAAAATTAATCACAACACTCAAAAAATGTATCTGACACTACTCTATTTTTATCTACTTTCTGGTGCATCTGATACAGAATTCTGCATCATAATTGAAAACTCTTAGTGTGGTTTTTAAGAATGCAGAAATCTAGCTATTGAGCAGTACTTTTGTCATCATACATATGTACTGTATCCACAGTATTCTCTATTTGAGAACTGAGTTCCAGGATGCAAGCTACAATTTCCCATTTAATGACAAATAACAGTATTTCCACTTCACCAAAAGGGCCCTCCACTAAGAGATTTTGATCAGTATGATAAACAAGGAACCTAAAGGCCACATGGAATCAAGGCAAAGTACCGCATTATAAAAACAAAGGCCCTAAATTGTAAATTGCAAAAGACTGTGATAAGCTGGGTAAGGAGTTCAGAATCTCTTCTTGTCTTATTATCCCTGGTATTGATTGAAGTCTCTCCACCTTGAAATTGTTGGTGAGGACAAATCTATTGAGTCTCATTAAATTCAGCACAGGAATGAAGTCCCTGGAGCATTTAGGACCACTAAAACAGATGCTATACATTTTAGAAAAATATTCCCTATCCTTGAGAATGAGAAGTACAGCTGCAATACAAAACAGATATCAATTTGTTTCCATAAATGCTCTCCCATAAAGGAGTTATTGTAGAACACAGCACACTTAAAATTTGTACTTAAAGAAAAAAAGAAAAAGGTAGTTGTATGTCAAGACAATGCAACTTGATAAAACAGATTACAGACAGATCTTCACATGTGTATGCTGCCCACTGCAGCTAGACTTTGAAGAGAATTTGTGGTCCTCAGTGGATTTACACATAATCCAGTGCAAGTTCATGACCTTGATTTGGTTTATCAGAAATGTTTTTTCTTTTATTCAGTTCACTGTTTCATATATCAGCATAAGATGGGATTCTTCCTAAACGGTAAACTGTTAAGGTGAACTTGGAATATGTGAGCCAACCACATTGCCTCAGCTACAGCATATACTGCCTATCTGACCGCTAACAGAGAGGTCATTGATCTTGCTGTAAGGGACAATATATCATAGGATGTACACACTGATAGGCTCAATGCCATTTGGAGCAGTAGGAAAATATTCCTTTGTGGATATGTTTATGGAATAGTTGACACATCCTTATCTAGCTGTTGCAGCCTGCATATTATTAATGTATCGAAACAAACAAAACACACATTTGTCTTCAATTGTTTGCCTTTCTCCTTCAAGGAAAAATAAGTATTTGTATTATTTTTATAGATGCAGAGTTTTCCAAAGACCTGGTGTGACTTCACTAGGACTGCATATCTTGTGATTTGGAAAATGTATGTTACTCTGAAGCAATGACACTTGTGTTTTTTATACAGTTCTTCTGATAAGAGGTATAGAATAGGATTGTCATAATAAAGGAACACCTTTTCCCCTCCAAAATTCTCTCAATTTGCCACAAACATTATTAGAGCTATGCCACTCTGACTCAGGTAACTTTTGTTTTGCTTTTTTTTTCATATAAACCTTTTTTTTGTTCATATTTTTATAAAAACCAAAAAGAACATATTTTTTCAAAGTGCGTTAGGTATTTTGATATTTTACAAAAAAGCTTCCCAGTCTTATCAGTTCCAAACTAATAATTTGTCAGAATATTTGAGCTGATTTTTGCTGATTTGAGAGGCAAATCTTACTCCTCCATGCTGGAAAAATATTGAATGCAATACCTCTGTACCAGCAAATTTTAGGATTACCTGTGAGTTATAATTATTTGGTGGCTATCAGAAAAAGGGCTTAACTTCAAAACCACAGTATTCTTGTTATAAAACAGACCCCTGGGATAGATGAAGAACTGTGAACCAGCTTTCTGAAGCAACCCTGAATTTTGAGCTAAGCCCAGTTTAGAAATGGATTGCCTCTACAGCTATATAAATAGTTATAATTCCATAATACATAAGAAACTTTTAAGAGCAAAATTTTTCTTCAAATGACACGTGAAACTCTCTCCCAAACTGAAGAAATACTGGCAAAGTCAGTGTTATGCAGGGTAAAGTAACCTTTATAAAGTCATGCTACAAAACAGTCTCAAGAAAACTCAATTTTCTTTTATATGCTGTAGAACCAGTCTGAAAGAACATGGTCTTATAAACACTGAAGAAGAGAGTTCATATTATCTTCACTTGTGCCAATTTTCTTTTTTCTTTTTTTTTGGTATGACTCACAGGATCTATTTAACACCTATAGAAGCATTGACTGGAGGACAAAAAATGAAATTTTACTCCAATTTACTTTCTCTTGACTCAGATACATAGACATGTCTGAGAATCTTTAATGGAAATCTACCTGTACAATGGCTTGGTTACCACTGTAGTGAACGAAAGATAATGTCAGTAATAACTGCAGTCAATAACAAATTTTGCAGAGTTAAGTACAGAAGAATGTACCAGGCAGTATATGCTCTAAAATGTTAATCAAACACATCTTTACAAACCCAGTACTGATTCTGGCTTGACTTAGGCCTAGCTTCACAATTTTATCACAAACCACTTACTCTTAAGTAAGATGATAAAGGAAAACACCTTTTATATGAAAAAGTACAGTCGATACACAATTTGTGAAAATAGTTCCAAGACTGGTAGAAGGTATGTGAAAATTGCATATACAACTTCTTCCTTCTCAATGTCTCTAAAAAAGGAAGGAAACATATTTTCTGTATTTCTTAGACTGAAAACCACATCAATGTAACTTGTTACAGTCAAAACAAGAAGTTCTGAGTAGTGCATGTGACAGTTTTTCAGGGTTAGCATTTTGCCTGACATTAATCAAAAATATGAATCTGTTCCGTAAATGTAAATATGTAAAATATGTAAAATGCTTTGAATTTGTTACCCATTTTAAAAGTTATTATGGCAACACTTTTTCCAGTTAATTTGGACAAAGCTGTTTTTTGCATCTTAAACCAACAAATTTGTTTTAGATTCATGCAAATACATTACTTACAAGTGAAAGGAATTTCTCCATTATCAGAAACAAATTGGAGACTTTAGTAATTGAAAGCTCTAGGAGAGGAAGAATCAAAACACAGATAACAAAATCACATAAAGTAATTTATATGCTTGGAAATTCACTCTTATTTTTCTTCTGATGTAACTAAATCTAAAGTCTCATCAATTCAATGTAAAAATTTGGGCATATATGCTGGGATGAAATTAGTCCAATAAACTCTGTTACTCTGCCAATCATATTTTGGTAAGAAATCCAGAGATCAGAGATCCAGAGATCAGGGGGCCAGTTAGCTCACTCGGCTGGAGCGTGGTGCTGATAACACCAAGGTCACGGTTTCGATCCCCATGTGTTGCCTGATCTAGTTGAGAGGTGTCCCTGCCTGTGACAGGGAAGCTGGGTTAAATGATCTCTAAGGTCCCTTCCAGCCTAGGCCATTCTAAGATTCTATGATCTAAAGGATGCAATGCAGTGTTTTGATTACCCTGTCCACTGATATTGCACAGATAGATATTAAAATGAACCTTGTGATCGTAAAGGAGAATGACATACTTTTTGATAAGATGCTGTTTCGACTGTGTGAGCATCTTCCTGGTCTTTCAGTACTTTTTGTGTATCAGTATTGAGAGCCTGAAGCTGCTTTATCAACTCAGCCTGTTGTGCTGTATGTTCAATGTTTTTTCTGTAAAGATTCTGCAGCTCCTGTAACTCCTTCCTGCACAAAATAAGCAATAAAGAGAAATTAAGAAAAAGAATAACAATGTTGTCCATTAAACAACTGTGTTCAAATAATTTTATTGTAGATAATGAGCTTCCTATATTCATTTATTTTTCTGTCAATTGTCTTATAAACACTGGAAGTTATATATAAAATATTTATCACACTTTTGTGAAATATCTACAGAACAGTTAAGTTTCAAAATGTAATGCTTTTCAATTTCCCTCTAATGCCCTAACTGCTCTAAACTAAATGGATTTTCACTACTGCATCAACACTATTTAATCAATATTCAGTTAACTCTTTAGAACTAAGTGTCAAAATGCAAAACATTTAGAACACGTGGACTGCAAACGAAGTGTATTTAGTAAAACTGTCAGAAAAAAGATAAAAGCTTTTCTTAACTTTGCAGATTTATTTCCTGAAATGCATTTACTTTCTAGATATGACGAATATCTTATGATAAATTACTTTCTGTCTGCAGGTACAGCACACTTCAACAACCATAAGAAAAGTAAGTAAATTTTGGTGTGAATTACTTAACAATTAAAGCTCTATAAACACACTAACATGAGTGCATAGATAGACAGGTCTAGTAGACAGGATAGACAGTAGGATAGATCTAGTATAATGAATCCTTGAGAATTTTACTCTACTGCTCATAGACTTTGCAAATAACTGCAGAAATGAAGACCACTTACATATAGTACAAAATGATCAAAGCCTTTGAGTATTTTCTGTACCACATGTTAGAAGTTTGGATGACTCCATTAATCCCTTTTCACACATTTCACACATTTAATCCCTTTTCACACATTTTCTGTTTAATTTTTTCTGTTTAATTCACAAGCATTTTTTACACTAGTATTACACACAGATACTGAAATATGTTAATCACTCCAACTAATTTGCTTCCTTACTTCCTCAAGGAAGTTCTCAATGAGATTTAACAGTGATAGAGGTGCATTAAGGACTCTCTATGTAACAAAATTAAAGTACACTACAGTATGTACTTCATATCTACTATGTTCACAAGCACAGCAGCAGAAACCACGACACAGTGCTACGTTAGCATCTTCTGACACCCTGTACAACAATCTTCCAAATAAGAACTTGTTTCATTTCCCTGACTGTGAGTATATAGTGGAGAGTGACACATCTTTGTAGTGAGGTTAAAACACAGATTATATTAATTTTACACAGGTTCTCCAATCAGATCTTCATTTTGTTGTGGAAGGGAAAAACATGGGATAACATTGAATCTTCAGATACCGTTAAAAACAACTGTTGCCAAGATCACTTTGGTATATTGCTGCTCTTTAATTTGTACACAAACATCAATGTAGTTATCTGTGCCTATCACCTGAGAATGCACAGTATTACATGTTCTCAAATGGTCTGTTCAAAAGATGTATTAAGGTCAATGTCAATCTTTTTTGTTAACTTTATTGGTCTTTGAGTCATACTCTAAAAGAGAGAGGATGTGTAGGGGCTGGGTAAGCTAAAGCCTGTAGCCACACAAGAACTGCAGCACAGTTGGAACACATTAATGTGTTTGCCCCTGTTAAATTCAAGGACTTTTTAATATAAGAAAACTCAGTCACAGTTCCATTACACCACATCTTAAAAATCTAACTTTACATCTTCATATATATATATCTCCTAACTTGCCTTTTTCTTTTTTTTCGGGGTACAAACCAAAATAGCTGCAATCTGAAAAATTCTTGAGACACAGAAAGACACAATCAGTAGATTGCAGTTGTACTTTACAGCTGATTTTATTCTATTTAACAAACAACACACTATTTTTACATTGTAAATCCATAAAGCTTACCTTCTTTTATTTCATTTTTACAGAGGAAGGAGGAAATTATGCTTAAACTTACCAGGAATTATTCAGCACCTGTGGTGCAATACAAATACATTCACATAATGAAACACCTTTGATAACAGACAGGCCAACTTGATGAGGGGACCTTGAAACGAGGAATGCCAGGGAACAGAGATGTTGACCACCTAACATATGAGGGAACTGTGGTCCAGGCTGACAAGTACAGGGCACAGGTTAGTGTGAACAGGAATGACCTTGTGATGAAGCAATACAAGGCTCATGGAGGACTATGTTAAACACAGACGACTATGGTAAACACAAATCAGGGAGTGCTGACAGGATGTCAGTATGGCGGAGGCTCTTAAGAACCTTCCTGGGAAACAAGCACAGCTGGGTGCCTATCTGAAGTTGCTGAAGACACAGCATGTCCCCAGGGAGGATGACAAGAGGAATTAGAGCTCTAACACTGCCCTGCGATTAGAGGGCTCATTGGGATCACGGAGACAAGGTGGGCTATCTCACGTAACTGGAATGCTGCCATGCATGGTTACAAACTCTTTAGGAAGGACAGGCTTGGACGGCAAGAGGTTGCCCTTTACATGGAAGATTTGCGTAAATGATTGGAGCTCTCTCTTCAGGTAGGTGAAGGGCCGGCTGAGAGTGTGTGGGTCAGCTGTGGGCAGACTGACATGGATGGCATGGTGGCTGCCTGCTGATCCCTTCTGATTAGGAAGGAGAACGAAGTCCTTTTCAGAAAACTGGAAGAAGAGTCATGTTTGTAGGCCCTTGTCTTCATGGGTGACTTGAATCACTCCAGTATACACTGGAGGGAAAATGCAGCAGGGCACAGGCAATCCAGGAGGCTTCTGCAATGCTTTGATGCTTCTTGTCACAGACGATCAACAAGCTGATGAAAGGAGACAGACTGCTGGACCTGATACTTAGAAACAGGGAAAAACTGGCTACCAGGCAGCCTCGTCTATAGCAACATTCAGGTGATGGGACATTTGGGATACTGAGAGAAGGGAGAAAAGAAAAAAAAGCAGGATCACAACTCTGGATTTCAGGAGAGCAGATTTTAGGGACCCACTTGGAATAATTCATTACAATACAAGCCTGGAGAGTCTCAGTGGAGGAGGATGATATGAGGGAACATTTAAACAAAACAGACTGTATACAATGACCATAGGACTTGATGTGACGTGTCTGAGTGTTAAAAGAGGCTCAACAATCTTTGAAAGGTCATGGCTATGAGGAGAGGTTCAGGAGGACTGCAAGAAAGAATGTCACTCATATTCAATAAGGATCTGGAAAGCTAGAGCAGTCAGACTCATCTCAATCCCTGAGAAGGTGATGGACCACATAAAGGACAAGATCATCTTTGGGAGTTGCCATCATGTGTTTACAAAGAGGAAATGATTCTTAACTGACCTGACAGCCTTCTCTGATGGGATGACTAACTCAGTGGGTGTTATCTTGACTGTAGTAAAACTTTTGGCAATGTCTCCCATAAAATACTCATAGACAGACTGAAGAAATATAGGCTAGATAAGTGGACAGGAAGACTGACTTGAACCTGGGCTTGTTGGGCTTAACAATTTGTGATCAGCAGAAGTAAGTTCTGTTGAAGGCCAGGTACTAGTAGAGTATCCTAGGAGATAATAAGAACTATTGGGGCCAATAGTTTTTAACATCTTCATTAATAACATAGACAATGATGGGACAAAGTGCACCACAGCAAGTTTGCTGATGACACAACTGGGGCAGTCTTTGTTTCACCAGACATTTGTGCTCCCATTCAGAGGGAACTTCACAGGCTGAACAAATGAGCTGACATGAACCTCATGAAGTTCAACAAAAAGAAGTGCAAATTACTTCCCCTGGGGGAGTAACAACCCCAGGTACTAGCACAGACTGGGTGCTGGCCAGCTGGAAAACAGTTTGTCAAAAAGTGCCCTGGGCATCCCAGTGGACACCAGGTTAACCAGGAGCCAGTAATGTACCCATGTCACAAAGGCCAATGACATCCTGAGTTGCACTGAGAAGAGCATTGCCAGCAGGAGGGAGGTAACGCTTCCCCTCTATCCAGAAGGGGTAAGACAAATCTCAGTGCTGCGTCCAGCTTTGTGCTTCCCAGTACAAGACAGACATGGACATAAGGGAGTAAATCCAGTGAAGGACCATAAAGATGATGAAAAGATTGGAGCATCTGTCATACATAGAAAGGCTGGGAAAAAAAAGCTGAGACTGTTCAGCCTGCAGAAGGAAAAGTTCAGGGAGTATTATCAACATGCCAAGAGACTCTTCTCAGTGGTGCCCAGTCACAAGAAAAGAGGCAACAGGCACAAATAAAACACACATGAAATTCCAGTTACACATAAGAAAAATGGCTTTAGCCTGTAAGATTGATCAAATACTGGAACAGGTTATTCAGAGAGATTGCGGTATGTCTATTCTTGGACATACACAAACTCAACTAGACACCATCCTGAGCAGCCTGTGTAGCTGACAGGGCTTGAGCAGAGGCTGGACCAGCTGGAGCTGTGGGACTACACAATCTCCAGAGATGTCTGCCAGTCTCAGCCACTCAGTGATTCTGTGTGATTCAGTTACCAATTTGCTTGCAGTATGCTCGAAAAGAGTATACAAAACCAATCCCACGATAATCAGAAAAAGTTACAAGATAAAAATGAATTTCTGATCAAAATATTAATTATAAAATAAAATATTAATATGCTTATTCAAATCATCAAGCTACTAAGCACTCTGCAAGAGAGACACCTGCCTGTCACTGCTGTAGGATAAGGATGTCAAGACCTAAGTAAAATGACTCTCTCAGGAGAGGATATTACAGAAGAAATAATAAAAAATTGCAAATTAGATGTAACAAAGATAATGAGTGGCATTTAAAATATGTGCCTATAGACACACTCATATAGATGTACGTATAGATGCATCTATATGTACACAGAGTTGTACAAATCTATACATCTACACATACAATACAAAAATTATATATGAATAGGTACATGTACACATACCAAGTATCATATACGTATACAAATATAAGCGCATACTGATAAAAGTGTTTTGATATAGTGTACAGTCTAAACAAACACAAATTCAAGAATAAAAGTCACTATCACCAACACTAGTAAAAAAAACC